CCACCCCTTTCCTTTTCTTTCTGCTTGGAGTCTCCTAACTCTTGATACAGTGCGTGATTTTCTGCTGGGACCTAGTCTCCCTGTGTACTCTGGAGCACAAAAACCTATTATTCCTGTCTACGTGTTTCAGCACCCATTATTCAACCTCCCTCTATCCCACCCCCCCTCACCCTTTCCTGACTCTTCTAAGCACTATTCTAAGCGCAGATCAACTTTTTTTTGTAAACTTCCACATATGAGAGAAAACATGTAGTGTTTGTCTTTCTGTATTACACAGAATATATATATAAATATATATTCATATATATTTTATAAATATATATATTTAATATATATATATATAAAGTGATATAATGATCTCCAGCTCCATCCATTCTGCTGCAACTGTCAGGATTTCATTCTCTTCTAGGGCTGATTGATATCCCTCGTGTGTACATACCACATCATCTTTGTCCATCTGTCCATCCATCAGTGGACAGCAAGCTTGGTTCCAGATCACAGTGACTCATAGGGATCTGGTTGAGAGGCTGCTTCGGTTCCTGCGGGTGGGCGCCCAGAACTGGGATGGCTGTGTCCTGTGCAGGCTGTTTGCAGCTTTGTGAGGTCTGTCACACTATTCCCCAGCATTGCAAGACTGACTGGATTCCCACCAACAGTATTCCAAGGATCCCTTTTCTCCACATCCTGTCAGCCTTTGTAGTCATTTATTTATTATTTTTCACTTATTTGAAAGGTAGAGACAGAAATAGAAAGAGGCAGGCAGAGGTCTTCCATATGCTGGTTCAGCCTCCCAAATGCCCACCAAGGTTAGGGCTAGGTCAGTGTGAAGCCAGGAGCCTGGAACTTAATCCACGTCTCCCATGTGGGTGGCAGGGACCCACGTACTTGAGCCATCACCGGCTGCCTCCCAGGTGCACATCAGCAGGAAACTGGAGTCGGGAGCTGGGAGCCGGGAGCCGAGGTGGGACTTGAACCCAGGCACGTGAATATAGGCTGTGAGCGTCCCAAGCAACACCTTAACCACTGCAGCAAATGCCTGGCCCAAAAGCTGTCATTTTTTTGTCTTTTTGACAGCAGCCATTCTTACTGGAGTGAGATGATTTCTCATTGTGGTTTTGATCTGAATTTTGCTGGTGGCTGGTGATACTGAGTGTTTCTTCACGTATCTGTTGGCCGTTAATATTTCTTCTCTTGCAATGTCTGTTCAGCTCCTCCACCGTTTCCTTATGGGTGGTTTTTCTGTTGAGGTTTTTGAGCTCCTTTCACGTGCTCGATGGTGACCCTTAGAAAGCCTTGGGCTTCTCAATGTCATGCAGTAAGCTGGTCTGCCACCCCCCTGGGGGGGGCACCCCCATGCGGTGAGCCCGAGAGCATGCCTCCGCCTGCCCAGGCCACCACCAGCATCAGCGACGTTGTGGGAATGACGTCTGCGAACACCCTGCACCTCCCACCAGCTGCTGCCCCTTCTCCCGCCTGTGCAGGTGACCAGACGGCCTGACATGGCCGAGGCTGTGCCTGGGAAAGGGCCAGCTGGGGCCAGCATGCGCAGTCACAGCGCCCAGCTCCAGGAGCTCATCCCAATACAAAGCCAGGCTTAGGGTCTGAGCCTCGGTGACAGTGACCACCCTGGACGTGGGAGGGGGAGAGGATGGGACGAGACTGGTTCCCCACAGCAGTCCCTGACCTGGCCATCCCTGGAGCGCTCACCCTTGGCCTCTCCCACGGGCAAGAAGGGACTTTGTGGAAACCACGGAAGTGCACTCAGAGGAGCACAGCAAGCAGCTCGCGCATGGCCGGGGTCAGCCCACGTCGCTCCCAGGCCGCCCCGCCCATCCACATCCCAGCTCGTGTGCGTGCCCACGTCATTTCACCATCTCCACAAGGACACTTCCTTGCCAGAACCACACCACAATCATAACACCATTGTCGCCCCTGAAAGTAATAATGATTCCCAATCGTTTTTTAGATCAGAGAGCCAGGCAGTGGTCGCATTCCACCGGTCTCACTATGGCTTTTTTTTTTTTTTTTTTTTTTTTGACAGGCAGAGTGGACAGTGAGAGAGACAGAGAGAAAGGTCTTCCTTTACCATTGGGTCACCCTTCAATGGCCACTGCTGCCGGCGCACCGCGTTGATCCGATGGCAGGAGCCAGGTGCTTATCCTGGTCTCCCATGGGGTGCAGGGCCCAAGTACTCGGACCATCCTCCACTGCCCTCCCGGGCCACAGCAGAGCTGGCCTGGAAGAGGAGCAACTGGGACAGAATCCAGTGCCCCGACCGGGACTAGAACCCGGTGTGCCGGTGCCAGGGGCGGAGGATTAGTCTAGTGAGCCATGGCGCCGGCCCCCAACTCACTTTTTTTTTTTTTTTTTTTTTTGACAGGCAGAGTGGACAGTGAGAGAGAGACAGAAAGGTCTTCCTTTTGCCGTTGGTTCACCCTCCAATGGCCGCCGCGGCCAGCGCACTGCGCTGATCCAAAGGCAGGAGCCAGGGCTTCCTCCTGGTCTCCCATGGGGTGCAGGGCCCAAGCACTTGGGCCATCCTCCACTGCACTCCCTGGCCACAGCAGAGAGCTGGCCTGGAAGAGGGGCAACCGGGACAGAATCCAGCGCCCCGAACGGGACTAGAACCCAGTGTGCTGGCGCCGCAAGGCTCACTACGGCTTTCTGACAGTTTGTGTCAATTTAGAGGCAGAGGCCCACACCTGGCCTGCGGTCTTTTGAGTCTCTTTCAGGCTGGATGTGGTTCGGCGCCACTTGCTGTTCTGTCTCTCCCACAGGTCGGTGGTAAGACCCAGACGTGACCTGTCAGATTCACCTAGGAGGCTTGCTTGCAAGATGGTGGCAGCAGGTGGCACTGAACTCTATCAGGAAGCACAGGGCGTCAGTCTCTCACTGATGCTGGACGCCACTTATGCTCACTGCAGTGACTTCATGCGGGCTGCAGAATGGTGTTCCATCTCATTCTTCTACACTGACGAGCAGGAATCGACCATAAATGCGACTTCCCCTCTTCCACTATTTGGTTTCATAACAAATCTGTTTCAAAGGGACTTTTAAAGCTCATCAGCTCCCTCAGTTGGAACCCTGGGGTGAGTAGCCCAGAGAGGGCAAGTCCCTCACTAAGGGACACACAGCGAAAGGAGATCAGGGCGAGAACCCAACCCCACGTCTGCCACAGGCACAGGATGCAGCGGGCTGGAGCAGGAGGGGTGCAGGTCTGAGAACCAGAGGCCTGAACTTGAATCTGGGATCTGCCATTGACAGGCAGCACTAGGGCAGACCGTTCAGCCCCAGACTCCTCGGTAGCACACAAACCCCACTCGGCTCGCAGCCCGACGCTCCCCGAGGCCCACTGCGTCTCAGGGAGAAGGGACTCGCTGAAGCCCCGTTGGACTGCACATGTGAGGCTCAAGCCCAGGGCCTCTCCTTGAACGCCCCACCTCTGCCCCTGGGCCTGGCTGAAGACCTTGCCTCTCCTCCCAGGTGCCTCTGCAGGGGGAGCGTTGCTCAGAAAGCCCAGTCTTCGGCCAGCAAGGCGACAACTGTGTAACAAATCGTCAAGCATTTCCAGACGGTGGCAGCGTGCGTCCAAGCAAGCATGGGGCCCTCACTGAGCGGGCAGGGCTCTGTGTGACTGTGCAGGTCGCAGGGCCACGAGGCTGCACTGGTGAGCTCTGCCCCAGCCCAGGGTGAGGGCTCAAGGCCCAGTTCTGGTAAACAGTCAGTCACGGTAATGGGTTTCTTTTCATCTCTGGAGTCAAGCTGTCGACTGAGCCGTAGCCAGAGAATGTGAATGTCAACCAGGCAGTGGAAAAGGGCTGACAGGGGTGGGTGTGAAGGAGGGACAGCTGGGGGACACATCCGCATTTATCCTATCCCAAAAAGCACAGGGGAGACAAGAAAGCCCGCCAAAAGCCGAACCAACGAATCAGCAGTGCACACTAAATGCACTGCAAATTTCCAAGTCGGGAGGCAGGAGGTTAGACATGTAAGCTAACCTCTCAGGAAAGGCAGTGGATACGGTTCTAAAGTTACAAACCGGCCGGCACTGCAGCTCAATAGGCTAATCCTCCACCTAGCGGCGCTGGCACACTGGGTTCTAGTCCCGGTCGGGGCACCGGATTCAGTCCCGGTTGCTCCTCTTCCAGGCCAGCTCTCTGCTGTGGCCCGGGAGTGCAGTGGAGGATGGCCCAAGTCCTTGGGCCCTGCACCCCATGGGAGACCAGGAGAAGCACCTGGCTCCTGCCATCAGATCAGCGTGGTGCGCCGGCTGCAGTGCGCCAGCTGTGGCGGCCATTGGAGGGTGAATCAATGGCAAAAAGGAAGACCTTTCTGTCTCTCTCACTGTCCACTCTGTCAAAAAAAAAAAAAAAAAAATTAAAAAAAAATAAAGTTACAAACCTCGGGACAGATGTGCAAGCGTGTTACCTAGAGTTGAGGAGCTAAGTGGCGCCCAGAAGGAAACATGTAGAATACCTTGCCTGTGGAGCCAAGCCAGGATGAAGAGGGAAGGACCGGGCAGGGGTCTGGCCATTTCCTTTGTAAAGCCTCTTATGTTACTTGCTACCATGTTCCTCTCTCTCTGCTTGCCTAACATCTATCTGACCAAGATACAGAACTTCCATTTGCTGCTTCACTCCCTAAATGCCTGCAACAGCAGGGCCAGGGCCAGGGCCAGGAGCCAGGAACCCAATCCAGGTCCCCCGCGTGGATGGGAGGAACCCAAGTACTTGAGCCATTGCCCTCATGACGGAGTCTTTTGAGTTTCTTGTGTATTCTGTTATTACTCCTTCGCCAGATGCAGTGTTTGCACATATTTTTCCCCATTCTCTCAGTTGTCTTTTCACCCTGTTATTATTTCCTTAACCGTGCGGAAGTTTCTCAGTTTGATACAATCCCATCTGTCTAGTTTTGCTTTTGTTGACAGTGCTTTTGGGATCTTACCCAAAAAAATCGTTTCCTATGCATATAAGTGCTTCCCCTGTTTTAATAATTCCATCTTATCTTTATTAAGTTTATTCATTTTTATTTATTTGAAAGGTGGAGACAGAGGTTAGATCTTCCACCCTCTGGTTCACTCCATAAATGCCTGCAATAGCCAGGCACGGGCCAGGCCGCAGCCAGGAATTCAGTCCGGGTCTCCCTTGTGCTTGGCAGGGAACCAAGTACCTTAGCCATCATCTGCTGCCTCCCAGGGTAATCATTAGCAGGAAGCTGGATGGGAAGAGGAGGCGGGACGCAGTCCCAGGCACTCCAGTATGGGACACGGAGTGGCAGCTTAACCAATGCTCTGCAACACCTGCCCCTAGATGTTACATTTTCATCTCTGATCCATTTTGATTTCTGTAAAGAGTGACAGGTGCAGGGAGTGCAGTCTTCTGCATATGGATAGCGTTTTCCCAGCACCATTGTTGAGAGCCATTGTCTTTTTTTCCAGTGAATGTTTTAGGAACCTTTGTCAAAGTTAAGTTGGTGTGGGTTTGTGGATTCATTTCTGGCACGTATTTGGTCCTAGTGCCTGTTTTCATGTCAGTACCATGCTGTTTGGGTTACAATAGCTCTGTAGTAAGTCCTGAAATCTAGTGGTGGTCATTCTGCCTAAGGCTGCTTTGGCTATGGAGTCTTTCTTACTTCCATGTGCATTTTAGGGTGGCATGTTCTGACCTGCGAAGATCACTGGTATTCTGGTGGAGAATGTGTTGAGTCTGTAAGTCACTTTGGGTAGAATGGACATTCCGATGCCAATTCTTCCATTCCATGAACTCGAGAAGTCCTGCCACTTCTCCATCTTGTCCAGTTTCCTTCATCAGCGTTTCGTAACTGGCTCGGGTTTTACATCCCTGGTTAGATTTATCCCAAGCAGGTGGTGACTAGTGTTGATAGTGATAGCTATTGTAAATGAGACTGCTCTTTTAATTTCTTTCTCAGCACGTTTGCCATTGGTGTATAAAAATGCTGATTTTTGCATGTTGTGTATCCTGCAATTTTATTGAATTTGTTATGAGTTTTTAGTCTCCTGGTGGAATCTTTGGGTTTCTTTATATAGAATCGTGTCATCTGCAAACAGAGATACTTTGGCTTCTTATTTTCCTTATTTGCATGCCTTTTATTTCCTTCCCTAATTGTTTTAAAGCTTCCAATACTATACTGAATAAGAGCGGTAAGAGTGGACACCTTTGTCCAGTTCCAGATCTTAAAGGAAACGTGAATACTGGCTTGGTTTCTCCGATGCAGCCTGTGTTATGCTGAGGTGTTTTCTTCTATGTTTAATGTGTTCAAGGTTCGTTTTTAAAATCAGGAATGGATGTTGAATTTTATTCAATACTTTCCTTCATCTCTTGAGGAATCACGATTTTCATTCTTCATTCTGTTGACAAGGATGACGTCCCCAATGCGTGTGTGCTGAACCCTCCTTGCACTGCTGGGATCCATCTCACTTGGTGAGCGTGAGGGCTCTTTCTGATGTGTTTTGGGTTCAATTTGCTGGTATTTCACTGGGAACTTCTGCATCCGTCTTCATCAAAGAAATTGTCCTACAGTTTTCTCTTTTTGTTGTCTCCATGTCTGGTTCTGGATTCGAGGTAAAGTTGGCCCTGTAGAATGAGATGGGAAGAGTTACGTCCTGTGTTAAGTGATCAACTCAACTCAAACTGGCTTAAGCGAAGACAAACTTGGCTGACGGTTCGTTCCTAAACCTACGAGAGGGTAACCAGCTCCTGGCACAGCTGGATCCATGGGGCCACAGAGGCATCAGCAGACCTATGTGTCTGATTCCATCTCTTGCCTCCCCACTCTCCAGTCTCCCATGGCCAAACAGTAACAACGTCCTCAGCTCCAAGCTAATGGTTTTAGTGAAACTCTGGGGCACTGCTACAGGGACCGGACAGACTCGGGTCCCCTGCCTGGTCCTTGTGGAACAGGGTGGGGCAAGGCTCAGCAGCTTTCACTGGGAACGGAGGAGGGGTGGCCTCCAGGAGCGGGGCTGTCCCTGCAAGAAGTGATGATGGACAAGCAGTTTTGACAATGCCCCCTACACCCCCGCACCAGGCTCAAGACTGGAGTCAGACTCCCAGCAGTCCCATCCAACAGACGGAGCAAGTGGCTCAGAGAAGCCAAGCACTCGCCAGCGTTTCGTACCTAGAGGATCTGGGAGCGCCGATGCACCCGTAACAGGCAGAAGAGGCAGCAGGCAGGCCACAGCCTGTGTAATCCTGGCCGGGACAGAGACGACTCGGCCGATGGGACCTCGTGCGTGGGTGGGAAGGGATCAGGGCACTGAGAAGTGTGGCAGCATCCTTGTCCCCACCTGCTCTGCCAGCCCTGTGCTGAGAGCACAGCAGTGCACAGTCACTCCCGCCGCCACGCCTCCGCCCTCGAGTCCGACACCTGCTGCGGCCACACAGTTGCTGGACCGACCCCTGGAGCCGGCGTGCCGGGTTCCCTGGGAAACAGCTGTTGGCGAGGAACGAAGCGCTCCGCTTGGAGGTGGAGGCAGAATCCCAGAGCAGCAAGGCGGAGGGAGCAGAAGTGAGGGGCGGGGAGACAGCTGGGCAGCCATGCACGGCGCACACCGAGCCGCACAGCAGTGCAGGAACAAGCGCGAGGGACGCAGCCTCCCATCCTCCCAGAACAAGCCCCGCCCACACTACCGGCCTGGCACTTCCGGCCCCTTCGCCAGCCCTTTGGGAACCCGGGCTGTCGTCGGCTTCCGCTGTGGAGCTGCCGGGACTTTGCTCCTCGAGGCAGGGCAAGTGGCGCGGGGTCCAGTGCATGGGGCAGGGGAGATGGGGGGAGACATACGGATGCGACAGACCCTCGCTCCAGCTCTGTGACTTGACTTCTCAGTACCTCCCTCGAGGGTGGAGAGGATCTGGGATAATGCAGGCAAAATGTGGACTCGTGTCCACTCCTCCCTGGTCATCGGTTGTTCCCCGGGGGCACCTGGGGTCCTGAAGGGGGGGGGGTGCCATGGCCAAGCCGCATTAGCCAGGACGAGGGTGGTCACAGGCTGGCTCAAATGACAAGGACATCTTGGCTCGCTAAACTGGAAGGTCCTGAGGTGCCTGAGGCTTTAGCACAGTGGGACCCCGGGGTGATGGCCCGCGTGGGCACGGCGGGAGTGCTCGGTCTGACCCGGGCAGAGAGCTGTGAAATGGACTGGATTCGGGTCACCGGCTTGCCCTCCAGACTTGCAGGGGCCTCCATGGTGCTGTCTCTGGCTGGAATGATTTCCACTGCAGGTCCCGCCCTCTGCTGGCCCACTCAGGGACCCGACGGTCAGCGCACAGGTGCTTCTGGATCCCCCGGGAGGCGGCGGCGCCTGGCGTTCTGCCCATGATCTGTTTGGTGGAAATCGCCTCTGAAGCCCTGGGATCCACAGGGAGGGGTGACAGGTGAGGGTCAAGGCTGTGCCTTGTCTTGAGCGTCCTCCTTGCAGCCGCGTCCTCCTTGCAGCCGCGCTCTTGCTTCCAGGGTTCTGTGAGCTCCTCCCTGAGTGGCCTCAAGCTGCCTGCATGGAGGGCACCCCGGCACCGCAGCTGTAGCCCCTGCACCAGCCCCGCGACCCTGGACAAGTTGACCCACCACTCTGAGCCTTGGCCTCCGCCACTGTAAAATGAGATGGACGTCCAGGTACCGACACAGACACGTGCACAGATGGCCGTGTGGGTGTTCTCCATGAGTGTATTCTAAACAGCCAGCATCCAATCCATGGACAAACCGTGTGCACACACGCGATGCCCTGCTGATGCAAACGGATGGCTCTCCAAACCTGCCACGGGTAAGTGACCACACACACGCACACCAGGCGATAGGAAAGGCAAAGGCAACCACTGGAGCAAAGGCCTGTCAGTGGCCGAGGCAGGAGGGGCTGGCTGGCGTGGGAGCGACAGAACATCTGGGGGGTGATGAGAAACGTTACGTACCTTCATTACGGTGGTCTCTGCAAGGGTGTACATGTCTGACTAGACTTCTGAATTGTACACTTAACATCGGTGGATTTCATTGCATAGAAAGTACAATTCAGAGCAAAGAAAAATACTGCCCTGTATTAGAACCCTTTGTAACATAAACCCAACCAGAGAAAGGCATTGGCTCATACAACCAGGTTAGGCCAGGGGTGCAGTCGGCTTCAGGTGTGGCTGGACCCAGGGGCTTACTGATGCCTGACGGCCCATTCTCTCCATCTCTTAGTTCTCTTTCCTCCTTGTTGGCTTCGTTCCCAGGCGGAGAAAGATGGCTACCTGCAGTTCCAAGCCGCATCCTATCATCTTGGCAGCTCCCGCAGGAAGAGTGTCTTCTTCACCCACAGCTGCTACAGAGTCTCCAAGTCTGTGTTCGTGACTGGGTCACATCCTGAGTCTAAAGCCACAGGGTGGGGTCGGCCCCACCTGAACCCCAGGCGTGCGGGCTATGGGAGACGTGGCTCCCCGCGGGAGAGATGGTATTGTCTGCAAAGCGAGCCAAGAAAGCCATCCGAGGGCCGGCACTTCTCAGCAGGGTGTGGTGGTACCACGCCTTCTCACCACGGCCAGGCCACTGGAGTGGAGCCCAACCTCGCTACCTCAAGCCCATGGTTTTTCTGTGACGTCACCAGCTCTGCCTGGTTAGATACGAGACAAAACAGAAAGCGAGCACAAACTGCTTCCCCGCCGCTCAAGCCAAACAAAGCCCTTCCTGCCTGTGCTGGGCCAGCCGTCTACACCCCGAGGATGCGGGCAGGGGCAGGAGTTCAGCCACTCTGGCCCAGGCCCAGCAGCAATGCCAGGACCTGCAGGACAACTTCCCCCCACCCCCAGAAGAGGGGAAGGCTCCCTCCCCCTCCCCCGTGGCCCAGAGCTGCAGCGCATTCAACACAGACAGGCATCCCAGCAGGGCCCGAGGAGGCTGCTGCCCGCCCTAACCCCTGGAGCTGCAAGCTCCTGTCTCAGGCTTGCATCCCACCCAGGTAAGGCAGGGTAGCAGGGGGCCACTTCCCAGCCCGGTCTCCAGGGTCCCTAGGCGGGAGAAACCGGAGCTGATGCCGCGGCCCCATTTCCCACTAAGGCGCAGCCACACTGCTCTCTGGAAAGCAGGCTTAATGGAAGTCATTGCCAAGAGCGTGCATTCCACTGCCACACAGGGCGGGGTGGGCAGGAGGGCGAGTGCAGGAGTGGCCGAGCGCTCGGGGCCTCCTTGCCAGAGGAAGCCCAAAGGCCTGGCCCCGAGCCACGGGGCTCCGGGAAAGTGGTGTGCTCGACTCCGGCTCTGCTCACCAAGGCCTAGTCAGGCTTCCTCCCCCCCATCCCCCCGGGGGCACTCCTCGCCATGGCCGAGCGGCCCCACTGCCTGGAGCTGACAGCACTTGCGAGGACTTGCTCCCTGTCCAGTAGGCCAGGATCCTGGAACTGAGCTCCGTAGAAAGGAGAGGCCGGGACAGCGGCCGAGATGGCTCCTTCCGGAATGCCTCTGGCCGAGCAGAGAGTAGCAGGAAGCAGCAGGTGGACGTCTCCCGTGCTCTGAGCCTGGCCCTCATCTGCACTACCTGGCGCCGAGCTGGCACTGGTGGCAACATGGCAGGCTCAGAGGCTCAGGAGGGCACTTCCTCCCAGAGATGGCAGCCCCTACCCCGCACCTGGGGATACGGTGATGACTGAGCACTTAATTATTAAGAGTTAGGACACGCTTCTTGTGTGCGCTCGTTAGAGTGTGAGTGGCATCCTGAAACAGCACTGACCTTGGGGGCCATCAGATCCCGGCGGGTCCGTGTCCTCGGCTGAAGGCCCCAGCTCCTTAAGCCTCACTTTTCTGTCTACAGAAGGAGAATCAGAAGTTGATTGAAGTAGCAGAGAAAGTGAGGCCAGTACAAATGGCCATGTCCCTTGATGCGACTCTGCCTTCAGAACCAGGTACGGCTCATCCCCCTCTAACCCAGGAGCACATGGCCTGAGGGTCCCCAGCTGCCTGGCAGACTCACTGGAGGAACAGGCAAGAAGCAACAAAGATTCCAAGCTCTGGGTACCCCCAGCAATGCAGATCCAACTGGGCAAGGCTCAGGCACCGGCTCCCCAGGTGAGTCTAGGGCCACGGGACCAGCAGTGCTGTGGCGGCCCCTGGCCCACACGGCCAGCATCCTCTGCCAGCCTCATCAACCCTGGTTTACAGAGAACCCCAGGGCTGGACAAATCTCAGTGCTTCCTGGCTGGGGACCCACAGTGCGTCCCACTCAGCAAAAGGAGAGCAAAGGCGCTCTGACTCCAGCAGGCACGGGGACGTTGCTGGAAGGGGCTTCGGGCCTGCCTCTTAGAAAAGGCCTGATCCTGGGCGCTGGGCAGGGCACACGGGTGCTGCGGAAGCAGTAAGGATCGGTTTCATTAGCACACAGCATCCCTGGTCACGGGCATTCATCAGCCCTGTCTTGTCACCAACATGCTACAGCCTTAGAAGGCCATTTGTTTGCAGTTGGGAAAACAAAAAAGCAATAATCGGTGTTGTTTTTGATGTAGTTTTGTTTTTTGCAAATGCTTAGAGTAACACATGAGGAATGCCTGCAAGAACAAAGTTTTGGGGGACAGAAGGGCAGGGCAGAGGTTACTGGGGTACATGGGCAATTTGA